GAGCTTCTAATTTTTTATGGCGGACCGAACTAATATTTCCGGATAGAATTTTTCACACACGCGCGCGCGCGCGCGACATACACACACACCTTATTTCTTTTTTAATAAAAAAAAAATCTTAGAGATTAGTTCAAATATTAAAATTTTTTAATGGAAATAAAGGGTGGGGGGGGGGTGTTGTCAGAATATATTTTAAAAGGGTATTATGTGTTGTAGGGCTCGTGTAGCAACTGTGGCGTTGCTTGTCATAGTGTTCGTGCGACGCCAAAAGGACACGCGTGTCACAGCTGCTATCTGCACTGGAGGTCAGTGAGTGCAAGTTAAATAAAATTTAAATAATTAAAAAACTTATTTAGAAAGTAGAATGTTCATGCACATATTATTGTGGATAAAAAGTACATAAAATTAATTTTAAATATTTAATGAGTATAATAATATGGCAAGTTTATTAACATATAAGAATTTTAATAAGAATGCATGAGTATTCTTATCTATGCAATAATTTTTTAAAAAAATTGCGAAATCATAATAATTGTAGATCAGTTATATGATTAAATATATGTATATATTCATAAATTAGAAGCTATATTATAAATTTATTTAAATGATTTAGGCGAACTGGTGTAGCAAGACCATTAAGTTCCATGCCAGGTCGAACAAACAAAAGAAAACCACCTCGCGGTCTCGTTGTTAATCACGATGATTTAGCAGCATTGGCTGGTCAACCGAATCAAGCAAACAACAGTTTACAAGCGATTGACACCGAAATTGTTAGTCTAAAACGCCAAGTATGTTTTCGAATAAAATAACACAATACGTGTGGATACATTTTTATATAAAAAATAATATAATTTATTGTTTAATTAAAAAATTTTAAATTATTTAAATAAAATTTTAATATAGATACAATCAAATAAACAGCAAGTAAGTGCACTGAAGCGTAAAACAACTGATGGTATTGATGATTTGCGACCTCCAGAAGTATCAAGTCGTATAAATGCTCGTTGGACAAATGATGAATTACTTTTGGCCGTTCAAGGAGTTAGAAAATATGGAAAAGATTTTTCTGCGATTGCTGATGTAATTGGAACTAAGACAGAAGCTCATTTACGATCGTTTTTCGTGAATTATCGGCGAAGATATAATTTAGATGCTGTATTAAAAGAATATGAAGCTGAAAATGGTCCAATATTAATTGATGATGAGAAAGAAGAAAAAGTAAAATATTTATAATTTATTTTGTGTATTACATAATATTAATTGTTAAATTGTTAAATATGAATGTTTCATATTCAGATGGATGTGGATCAGCCAAATGAAACAGCAGAATCATCGCAAAAGACGAAATCATCTGCCGGCATTGGACAAACGGCTAAATAACAAATGACTATACTTTTGAATACTACCAAACGTGAAAAGAGCAATCACAGACATTTCGATAATCGATAATATCGTTTAAAAGGTATTTGTTTAAAATTCAGTTTGCAATTTTCACTTCTAATTATATTATGTTGCTACTGATGCGATATAGAAATATCAAGTACAAGCAACAATTTGCATCAAATTTATGTGTAAAATAATAATAAATCCATATAATGCATGTATGGATAAATTTATAAGAACAAAAATGTGTGAATTTATTTAGCTAAACTTACTTTTAATGTAATATGTTTGAAATGGAATTTTTATTAAGCAATATAAACAAATATAACAAATATAATTCCATTAAGGACAATTAGCATGTAATTCTAAAAGATAAATTAATGCATCCAATTGCAAATATAACAAGCATTTTTTTAGGTCCATTTTATATAATCTCGGATGCATAATAATTTCTTTTTTTGAATAAATTAATTGTATTCTGTAGCATGTAATATTTCTAGGTATACAAAGGGATATCTTAAATCCCATTTTAACTAATGAAAGTAATTTAACACAATCGCGTTGAATGATTTATCAACTAAAAAAAAAAAAAAATAAAATGCTCAAAAAAATAATATACTTTCATTCAAATTTTAACGAAAAATATTGAATATCTTATTAAAATACATCACAGTGAGAATTTTTTTTATTAGTTTTATAGAATAATAAATTTGAGAGATTGAAAATCGTGCTACTGAAAATATCAGATTAAGAAGAATATATTTTTATGGCTTGCTGCATATTCAATCCAAATGTATAAAAAACAAGAAAAATGGTTCCTGATATTTCTATTATATTATGCAAAATTATCTAATGTATTAAAATTTTCTGTATTTCAAAGATGGTGCTTCTATATTTACAAGAGCACAAACTTTTATAATCTTATAATAGAGAAATATTTCACTTATAAAAAAATTCTATTGAATAATTTTAATTGGATAAAATTTGCATAAAAAAAGAATATTTCAATAAATTTTTCGAAATAGTTATTTATACAATATTAAATATTCGAACAAATATGAAATATATTAATTGTTTAAATTTATTTTCAAGAAATTATTTAATAATCAACTCTATATGTATATAAAATTTAACGATAGAAATATATTATGAAAAGCATAAATTTCGTTTAAAAATAATAATTACCATTAAAAAATATTTTCAAAAAAACTTCCATTGGTTTTTCATGATACAATACCTAAACCTGATATATATGTAATTTTATTTATAATTTCATGTGTACATCCACATTTACTTATAATAGCAATAGTAATAATATTGTTAGTTTAATATCTGTCTAGATAGTATTCACTTCTTAATGTTAATAAAAGAAACATTCGCAAGCGTGTGTGCACGATTTCTTTAACAAAACATGATATTCCTGAAAATGATTGTGAGATTAAATACATTTTAGAAATTATTATATAAACATCGATGTAAATAGCAATGATCACCAAAGAAATTTACTATAATCATTAGCAACATATCACGAAGATTGGCTGGAACGTACCAGACAAATAGTTCTCAAATTCAAAAAAAATTATATATATATAATATA